CAACTGCTTTTCAATGTTGACTTTTATGTGAGGACCAAACTGAGGAACATCCTGACTACTGCAGGATCCCACAGAGCTGTAGACTGTGGGACTTATTGTGAGTGATTCAGAATTCAAAGTCAAGGCCCGAAGGCCAGATCCGGCCCGCAAAGAAATTATCTTGGCCCCTGGGATGATATTTGATTAGTATTAGAACCGGCCGCACAGCGATAAGAAAATATTATATTATTCATTTAATGTTTAGGACATGTGTTTTCTCTTTGAAGGAAGTTTGTTTTTAATAAAATATGTTAGGTCAACCATCTTAATATGTTTTAGTAAACATTGAACCAGTCCGGCCCTCGGCCTGTAGAAAATTAGTTGTTTTGGCCCTCTGATGTATTTGACTTTGACATCCCTGGTCTATCTTGGATGAAAAAGAATCAAAATTGTAAACAGGAAAATCTTTATTGGTGTATTCATGTAGGATTTTTATATCTTTTTAATACAATTACAAACATGCAATTTCTGTGTAATTAAGGGGAGAAAGGTTTTGTTGTTTATTATAGTGCAAAAGAATGTGAACTCTTGCATGAATAGTCATTGGAAAAAACATGATGATAAAATAGTGCCAAAAACAACAAATCTTCATCTTAAGGGCAAGACACTTGTACAAAGATGTGCAATAATTCATGCAAGAAATAAAAAAAAAAAAGATCACTTTTATCAGATTGACTTGAATAATCAAGGCAAGGCAAGGCAAGTTTATTTATATAGCACAATTCATACACAAGGCAATTCAAAGTGCTGAACAAAATAAGAAAGCATTAAAATAAATAAATCATGTGCAATCATCTTTGCATAAATAATCACAGAACATTAAAAAAAAGATACAAAAATCAAATCCCTCAGTTGTATGCACAGCTAAACAGAACCGTCTTTAACCTGGTTTTAAACATTGTCAGAGAGGAGGCCTGTCTCACATCTTCAGGAAGACTGTTCCAGATTTTAGCAGCATGAATCTGAAAAGCAGCCTCCCCATGTTTAGTTCTGACTCTGGGCACTAACAGGAGTCCAGTCCCTGTGCTCCTCAGAGTCCGGGCTGGTTCATATGGGACTAACATGTCACTAATATATTTTGGTGCGAGGCCATGGAGAGACTTGTACACAAGCAGAGCTGTTTTAAAGTCTATTCTCTGAGCCACAGGAAGCCAGTGCAGAGACCTGAGAACTGGACTAATGTGGTCGTACTTCCTGGTTCTTGTCAGGACTCGAGCTGCTGCATTTTGAATGTACTGCAGCTGTTTTACAGCCTGTTTGGACAGACCTGTGAGCAGGCCATTGCAGTAGTCTAACCTACTGGAGACAAATGCATGGATAAGAATCTCCAAGTCTGCTTTAGACACTATGTTTTTGATCCTGGCAATGTTTTTTAGATGGTAAAAAGCTGCTGATGTTACTGATTTGATGTGGCTATTAAAATTTAAGTCTGAGTCCAGTATTACCCCTAGATTTCTGACCTTGTTTGAAGGTTTTAGGGAGAGAGACTGTAGGTGACAGATGACGCTCTCTCTTTGTTTCTGGGGACCAAAAACAATCATTTCAGTTTTGTCTGCGTTTAGCTGAAGGAAGTTGTTTTGCATCCACTCACTGATCTGTTGGATACAGTGAAGGAGTGAGTCCACTGGTCCATGTTCTCCTGCAGTCAGTGAGACATAGATCTGAGTGTCGTCTGCATAGTTATGATAGGAAACTTTGTTTCTGCGTATTAACTGACCTAACGGCAGCATGTAGAGATTGAACATTATCATCATTAATCTTTATTGAGGACACAATACAATATTCTTTAGATGAATGTAGAAAGTAATAATAATAATAATAATGCATCGATTTTACATAGCGCTTTTTGGACACTCAAACCCACTTCACATTTCATTATTCTTTCACTCCAAACAAGGTGGTGATAAACTACTACTGTAGCCACAGCTGCCCTGAGGCACACTGACAGAAGCGAGGCAACCAGTATGTGCCATCGGCCACTCCAACAACAACCACCCATTCACACACACATACACACACACACACACACACACACCAGACTCATTCTAGGCTATGTGGTCTCAAGAAGCGCTTTACGGTGGTGGCAAGCTGTTTCTAGCCACAGCTGCCCTGGGACGGACAGAAGCAAAATTGCCAATCTGCCCCTCTGATCCCCAAAAAAGATTCACTCACACACCTGACATGTTTTAAAGACAATTTGGCCAAAGTGTCTTTCCTAACAGTTCATCCCACTGTGGCACCTTACAGTATATTGTATTTCGACTGGTCTCCCATCTGAGTACTAACCAGGCCCTGCACTGCTGAGCTTCTGAGATATGACGAGGTGTGTTTTCCTTTCTTGTTCAAAGTGTTAAAACAATCTCTCTTTTGTGCAAATGAGCGGCCTGTTGGACTGAATACACCCACTTGCTTCACTATCCCCATTCAGCCCTGAGAAATGATCAAAGTGTGTGTGCGTGTGTGTGTGTATGTGTGTGTGTGTGTGTGTGTGTGTGTGTGTGTGTGGAGGGCAACTATAGAGTGAACGTGACAAACCACTTGTGGCAGAGTTGTCTCTTTGCATCTCCCAAAGCTATAATTCTTGAAAGACCCTGACTTGGCTGCACAGACCCAGGCACAAGCAGAGGTCAACAGTTTACAGAGCCTTTCACTTTCCTTTTTTTCCATACATTTCCATTTTTACATTTTCATTCATTTAATTAGATTTTTTTTCACCTGCATGACTTCAAATATTCTCTTTTATATTGCTGAACTGTAGCTTGTTGGTGATTCAGAACTTTATGGTGAGTTTGAGCTTGTATTGTTGTATAGTGCTCATCTGTTTATTTCTTTCTTGGAATTTTTTATTTTAATAACTACTAAAATATGAATTGCCGCTGGTAGGATAAATGAAGTAGTCTGAATTGGAATGATTATATTGTATACAATATTAGCAGGAGGTGTTTAAAGTCCCATATTACGCTTTTTGACTTTTCTCTGCTTTAATAATGATTACAGTGCTCTTTGGCCTCAGACACATGCCCAGAGTAGTTTTTTCATTGATTCATTCAATCTTTAGTTAGAGAGCGATCTGTCTCCTTCACCCTAGAGAGGCAGTGAAACGCCCGGGTCCACATCTGTGACAATTACCACTCTGATGACGAATGTGACGCGCAGAAGCCCGTTTTCTTTCATATTTAAAATGGTTCTTAAATACTACCGTCAAAAGCAGGAAAAACAATACACAATAAGTATGCTGTTTATTGTCAAAAATAAAGAAAATAATAATAATGATAAAAGCCGGGAGGTGATTGACAAATCGAAACAGCAAATCACAGCACGCAGCCAGCTCCCAGCCAGTCCAGTGTATGTGGTTTGGTCCCGCGGACATCATATGCTCCATACTGTTTTTCTGCTTTTGTCAGCGGCTAAAAGTGTTAGGATCAGGTCCACTTGGAGAAAATATGTTTTTGGGTGTAAATATGTGACGCACTATTTGGTCCGAAGAGGAAGAATACAGCTCGAGTCACGGAGCCTCTGTTTGAATTAATTTGTTCATCTGCGCCACTTCACTGAGACTGTTCCAGAACTACAGGGACAATACTGGACTTACCCAAAAACTGTTCTGGAAACCAGTGTTATTCCTACAATAAAAGACGCAAACACGGACCCCTCGATCTGTAAGTACAGCGTAAACTAAATAATCAGGGTCTGATTGTGGTTCAAGGACATAGGGCTCGATGTGACGGATTGTCATTGTTGGAAAAAGTTTATTTTCAGGTCTGAAATGACTATGTACCAGAGATAAACAACTCACAATGTGATGCTGCGTCACCGTGCGGGCGGAGGCGGGATCACGGACAGAGGAGCAGACTGATCTCTGAATCAGCCTGTTTGAGGTGACGTCACCTCTACACAAGAGATGGCTATAATCTCACAAGTTTTGAGTGTTGTATGGTGTATCACTCAAATTACTATCATACATGTGCATATGATGGACTGTGAAACATGAAGAAAAGCGTAATGCGGAACCTTTAATGATTGTTCTATTGAAAAAACCATAATCATGACTTGAATCATATGCATCATGTTCAAACTGTGGTGGTCGTGTGGGGCGTGCGGGGGAAGAGCATCTCCAGCTGGGAATCCACAAGTGGCTCTTCTCGTCACTTTTCCCTTCCATCACTTACCCTCCTGCTCCGTCAGCACCCTGCGAGTCTCTGTTTAAAGAGAATAATCCTCAATACCCCCTGTGTCTTCAGACTCAATCTACCACTGTCTGCTCCTAAAACATTTCCCAGGAAATTAACTGTGCACACGGTAAAGAATCTGGGAACCTCCAGAATTTATTTATTTGACAATGTGATCATACATAGCTACAGCATGAAAGATGCGACACATGCAGAGTGTAGCTAATGCTAACGGTCAGCCTTTCCCTACAGTACAACACATTATACAGAATGAATGATGAATGAATAATTATAAAGATTGAATAAAACAGACAGCCCTAAAACACATATTCACAACAGTGATCTAACATTAAGATATTCCCACCAATGTAAAGATACACAGACAGCACACTTTTCATACACACACACACACACACACACACACACACAAAATACAAAGTGTCATAGTAGCTGACATGTCAAGGGAGGTCCTGGTATGGTATGATATTATTTTTTATTTTTACAGGGACATTGTACAATGAACTCTAGCCTGGAGGAGAGATGCATTGTAAAAGGTTGTAGCAGCAGTGCTAACTTACACCTGCAGTCCCTGAGCAGGTTGTTGTAAAACAGTAAAATAAAAGTAAATGGATAGATGACCATACATTTCCTTAATTTTTATTGAACAGTACAGAACATTCAGTATACAAACTATTTCACACACTGTTTTACTCTTTATGTAATTTGCAGAGCTTTGAAGAGCAGCTCTCTTGATGCCTATTGTCTGCTGTCTGTCCTGATGCACCTGGGCAGATGGTACTGGCGCTGCTCAGGTATCCAAATCAGAAACCATGCATTGGTCCCCCTCTTGAGTGGCCCCTGAATTATTCGTCAAACTTGTGTGTTGCTGTTCGGTCATTTTTAATATATGAACTGTTTTTCATACTACTTTGCTCTTTATATAAATGAAATCATCTGTATTTAATGCTTTAATGTTCTCTCCTTGAAGAAACCAATTTTCTTTGTTCTTTTTTTGATTTTTTGTATAGGAGCACTAATTGTCACGAGTGAAGTGAAGGAGGACCCAAAATGCAGGAATGCAAAAATAATAAGGATTTAATGAAGATAAATAAAAGTCCAAGTTGAAAATACTAACTCAAAATTCCAAACGGAACCAGGAATAGACAAGGACAAAAGCAATGACAATGGACCATCAACAAGGGGAGAGACAGAGACCCAGGTGACACATGAGGGCGGGGCAGACACTCGACCAGGGGAACAGGACAGGAAGTACAACTAAACTAAAACAACAGAGAAAATTTGTCAAAAAAAACCCAAATGTTTTTTTTTTATTATAGGCCTTTAGCAAATGGTTGAGATGCAGTTTGATGGTAAAAGTGCCTAAAACCAAGTGATAGAGATGCCCCAATGAGGTAGATTTCAGTTCAAAGCTTCCAGTAGTAACTCAAAAAGTGATCCACCTAAAGATTGAGGAAACCATTAAAAGGATAAACCAGAATCTGTCTAAAATCTAGATACCCCTGGTGTGCTGTCTTGCCCCCACTTAGAAACAAGTTAAAATGAAGAGTGCTTTCGTGTGGGTTGGACTGTAATTCCTGTGAAAGGGTACACCCAAAAGAATCAAATGGATGTATTTGAATGTCTAATGTAAGTGAATATAACACCTCATGTACAAAAGCTTGTTGGAGCCAGACTAACAAACCCACTTTGCAAAGAGAACTGCTGACCTGGTGGCACTGTAGTGGCTGTGGAACACATCAGAGTTCTGGTCGTGGGCAGCGCCGGGCAAGACACGCTGGCACCACCCTTTGAAATCAGCCGTGCCTGTCTGTGAGTGTGGCCTGAGACGCCCGCCTGTCCCCTGGGTGCCTCCTCACCTCTGTGACCAATGGGGGGTGAGCTCCTTCATCACCTCAGTGCAGGGATGTGACCCGCAGCCAGCGCAGTCATGTTCGTCCAAAGTGTTGCCGCAGGAGCCGGGGAGGTGAGCAGAGAAGCCAGGCTCTGCGGACACACGGAGGCCGCACTGTTCGCACCGTCATGAGAATCACATGGAGCGACTGTGTGTGAACATTTACTGTACATCCAAACACTGTCTCAACACTGGAGGCCGGAAGCTTACGTACACACTGTAGAAAAAAAGAAATAACATGTTTCTTCCAGTCACACCTCGGATTTTATAGAAGGCAAAATAAATAATTCATAAAAATCGGTCAACATTGTGGCATTGAGTAAAGAGGAATGTTTTTGGAAAAAACTTATAACTGACTTGAAAACAGTGGAGAAAAATATGTTTTTAACATGTAAACTTCAGGTTTCCACTGTAATATATAGCATGTAAATTATGGTAAAATGTAGTTGTCAAAAAATAAAAAATGAATATGAAGAATATAGATACAGGGATAATACAAAGACTTGATGGAATAAGATTTATTGACTACAAATCTGATTTGTAGGGTTCAGACCAGGATTAAACTTGATTCAGCAGCTCCAAATTCAGGGCCATGGTGCTTGATTTACTATTGCAACAACACATCATCAGTACGGTAAAACTAACGTGTCTCATAACGCTCTAATCCCAGCTCACGTTCCCTATAAATGGACTGTCTTTCCTTCCCCAGGTCGAGGAGAGGTCCTTCCCCAAGTGTCATGGGGTCTTGTTCATGAGTGAGGGAAGGATGGAGCATGATAGACTGATCAGTGCAGCGTGTACAGTCTATCATGTTGGACTGTTGTGGAAAAGAGGGAGCAGCGTCTGTAGTCAGAGCTGTAACGGACTGTGGTGAAGAGGGAGCTGAGTCGAAAGGCAATGCTCTCATTTTACCAATGGTCATAAGCTTTGCGTAATGACTGCAGAGCGAGATTGCGGATACAAGCAATCAAAAAGTGCCTGTGCGCTGCGTTCGAAGTGGTGTGGAGAGCCCGGTCATACAAGAGGAGCTCGAGGTAGAGCCACTTCTTTTCCATGTGGCTCTGTTTTGAAAGCTTCCTGGACACCTCCCTGGGGAGACGCATGTCCCACCAGGAGGAGACCCCAGGAATGACTCGCTGAGAGCAGATTCTCCCAGATGAGCTGCAGTAAGCAGTAGCTCAGTTGGTAGAGCATTGGCCTTAAGGCCTGAAGATCGTGGGTTCAATTCCCACCTCTGCACCTTCTCCACCGACTCCCACTGATGACTGCTGTCGTTGTGTCCTTGGGCAAGACACTTAACCCCACTTTGCCCAAAGCCCCCACTGAAAGATCAAGGCTATGCTCACACTCAGAGAGCAGCCTCCTGTGGACTCACCACCTGCAGAGGGTCAGTGAGGGGCTGGTGCTATGAGACTTGGGTGGCATCTCTGATTGCCACCCCCCTGACCCAGAAATGGATTAAAGGGTAGAAAATGGATGGATGGATGGATGGATGGAGCTGCAGTAAGTATACAGTAAATGACTGGGGCGGCACGGTGGCTGAGTGGATAGCACTCTCGCCTCTCAGCAAGAAGGTCCTGGGTTTGAATCGCGGTCGGATCAAGGCCTTTCTAAGTGGAGTTTGCATGTTGTCCCCGTGTCTGCGTAGGTTTCCTCCGGGTGCTCCGGTTTCCCCTACCACTAAAAATATGCTCACTAGGTAAAATCCTCCAGCTCCGGTAGTCCTGACCAAGCCGAGCATTAACATCTCAGGATGGGTTCCCGGGCGATGAACTATGACGACCACTGCTCCTGACACAAGCCTTAGTGGCACCAGGATGGGTCAAATGCAGAGGACAAAGTTCCCTATGGGGACAATAAAGTGCACATTTAATGAAGAGGGAAGTCTGAGCGTCTGTGCTCCACGACTTGGCAAAGGATAAAGCTGGCATCTCTCAATGCCATAGGAGAAATATGTAGGTCGTTTTAGTTTTGGGACACACACACACATACTGTGCTACTGTGTGAGTAAGGGGAGGATATTTTTATTTTTCAACTATGGAAAAAGTGGAAGCAGAGGATGACGAGGTTCAGATTAGGTGGTGAGCATGTTTTAGTCAGTGAGCAAACAGAAGGTGAGATGTTCGTGGAAAAGGGAGGACCAAAGAAAAGGAGTCAGGTCATTTGATGTGTCCATCTCTGACCAAAATAAAAGTATTCTACTGTATATTCATTCCAGTTTGACTTGGATAATTGCTGCTTGGAAATGATAACAGTTATAATGGAGAGAGACTGTTGGTCTTTCTGGAAATAGTCGGTGAGCGTGAGAGGCATTGAGGATGGAGACAAGGCCGGTAGATCACCTCTTTGATGCAGCGTGGTTCCTCGCTGCTCTGCGGTCTGGCCGGGACTACACGACCCTCTTCATAGCCCCTCACCACAGGCGCACTTCTTTAGCCTGTGTCAATATTTAGTTTAGGATTATTTCGAGAACCCTCAGAAGGATAAAAAAAAAATCCCCTTTTGCCGATTACAGGAGGGACACCAAATAATGACGAAGAATCTGCAGAACTGTTAATGAATATTTATTATTTGCATGACAAACACAGATGATTTAACTGGCTGCTGCGGTCGGCTATATTTGGGTGAATCCACATGGTGTCCTGGGTAACCTCCGGCCAGAAATAGTGGGTTATGGAGACAGGACTTACAGTGTGTTGTGTTATAGGGGCTTTGATCATGCTTGAGGATGAAAAGAGAAAGACGGAAAGTTTTACATAAAGTTTGTTTAAGGAATATACTGGGAATGGGCTGCAACCGGGTATTTATTATAGGTGAGTCAATGTGGAATTTCCAATTAACAGTTCCAGAATGTGTCAAAAAAAATCCCATTCATCATAGCAGGTATGGGGTAATGAAAATATCCAATTCATCTACATGGAAGGTGTAAACTAATATAACTGTTGTAAACTGTATAGACCAAAATGAATACGTATAGCATTGATGACATGGATAATGCGTCAAATATGTCAAGGCAAAGAATGTATGAAAAAAGAAAAACCCTACAGGACTATTGACATGAATCAAAACTAAACAACATACGACAGCATGCAGATTATATATGATTTAGCGAAAACAATAAACAAGCGGCAAACACGTTTACAGAGCTTGTAAATTCTTTGAAGTGTGCGGCTGCAATCAGAGGCACTGTGCAGATTTGTGTTTGTCAAATGAATGAAGCAACGCAGGTATGTGTTTCCAGGCGGCAGGGCGTTAAAGGTACAGAGCTGTGTGCAAGTTCAACAGTTCAAGGGCCTCAGAGCTGAACTGACTGACCTGCCGTCTGGGCTCATCCATCACTGTCACTATCCATTTGATCTGCCTCATATACATGTTTTGTGATTGTTTTCACTTTTCATAAGTATCAGTAAACACAAGACAGTAGATGTAGTGCAGTAGTTATTCATTATATTATTATCCACAGTCAAAATAACACCATAGGCCCTTGGTAAAATAATGATACATGTATCATTATGTACATTTCTCCTGTGTGAGATCAATAAAGTGTATCTTATCTTATCTTATATTGAGGTCTTCTACCTTTTATAATGAGCATGAAGCCATGCTCAGCCATACTTAAGCAATTCATACACTCCACACAGTCACTGTGGGCGAGGTGAGTTCAACCTACACAGGACACAAGCGATAAGATGTGATATAACTGCTCTGATCAGAAGTCATTTATGTATGTTTCTTTGATCCCGACAAATGAATGACGAGTGCAAGGAGCGAGATTAATAAATTACATGAGATCAAATTTGAATCTCATTAATGAAATCAATTCAGATACAACATGAATCTGAAGGGTCTAATAACTGTAGTGAATTCAATCAGAATTAGAATCTGAAATTAAGGGTCTAATAACTGTAGTGAATTCAATCAGAATCTGAATCTGAAATGAAGTTGAATTTAATGAACCCAGAGATGATGCAACTGAAAAGAGAGATCTGGGCAGGTGAGTGGTCAGTGATAAAGTGGATGCTGTGATTGGAAATGATGTTGCAGTCTGAACTCCATGTGTCTTGCCCAATGAATGAATGTATCTGTGGCAGCCAGAATCCTACCAAGCACTGGATCAGGATATTTGACTGTTTCACCATTGACATTAATGTAATGGGATTACAGATTGTATGGTGCTGATTAAATACAAACAAATAAACCATTGAATGTTTTGTACATGTTAGCATCCCAATCTTATTGTCACAAATATTGGGGAAACTTCCCCACCTTAAAACTGTGTCTCCAGCCATGAAATAACTTTAAATTAAGGCCCGCTCACCCTTTTTACCTTTCTTGAGTGGAAAGTCCATAAGAGCAAGTTGGAAACTACACAACCACAAGCGGCCCAGGCACAGCACACTTATTCATAGAGTCACATAGTTGGAGTGGGGAACAAGAGAGGCAGTGGCGGTAGCAATAAATTGGTACAGACATCTGTCAGAAACCCCATGAGTCACCCACTGGAAAATGCCCGGCTGCACTACCAAGCCACCTTAGATATCCATCAGCACTGATTGTGGCTGGTGTTAGCTCCAATGCCATTTACACACAATTACAGAATTATGGACAAAAGAGCATACTGTTTACAAGAACACTGTCCCAGGAGACGACTGCTGCCTTAGAAGAAAACAAGCTGACACAGATGACAGGCACAAGTCTGTCACAAACTCTCTGACTGTCCCTAAACTCCTCTTGCCATGACTGTGGTATAACATGCAGAAATAAGTTTAGGAGCAAGAAACAATAATGTGACTGTGTATGAGGTTAGGCTTGGAACATGTTTTGTATCATTTGCTGCTCACACAAAGCAATGATGCAGCGTTCTGATGGTTGTGCAGCGGATTCCTGGGACGACAGACGCACTTGTGCCTCAGACATGACCTCTGCGGGGGCTCAGGTCAGATGCTGTGATAATCCTGTCCACAAAACTGGTCGGTATGTTTGAGGCCTCTGTGTTTATGTGCAATGTAGAGCTGCATGTCTAACAATATTTGATGTTTTACCTCTTATCAAGTTTTTTCAAAATATAAATGAGAGAAATGTCAGTGATTATGTTCTGAGTGGAGGTACATCATAGATTAGTTTGGGTGATTGTAATCAAACAATCCTCATGAACACAGATACTGTCCTTATTGTAAATTGCATAAGACATATAAACAGCATATTTTTGTGATTCTTGAATAAACAGAAATCTGCTCATGTTCTTCCTGAACTGCAGCTTGTGTTCAAGCACATGTTGTGTACATGATACATGTGTGTCTGAAGGAATGGAGACACCAAGAGACACTTGGCACCGAAGTGACGTGACCCAACACCTGACCCGGCAGGACACCAGAGGTCCATGAGAGGCCAACAGGGACACATCTGTCAGACCACCAAGTGAAGCTGGTGGCGAGTGATCACTTTAACCTTGTGGAGGCCATCCACAACGTTCTGAACATGAAGAGACTCATGTGAGGCTCATTCAGCTTCCTGCATTGAACACTCAACCAAGTAGAATGTTCTTACACCTAGGGTTTTTAGATACATTCCTTGTTTCCTCTTTGATAAACAAGCGTTTAAAGTTTTCTTCCATTAAGACACTTAAAGCTGTGTGTGTAATTACCTGGCATGTTTTGGTGAGAGGAAGCGGGACACACAGACCATGAACAGAGACAAAACACACTCACTTCTGATGGACTTTTACCAAAATGTTCTCAATCTTCTCACAACAGACAATAAAGACAACAGTGGGTTTTGTGAAAGACCATAACAATATAACAGATTGTGTAGCGAAATCCAATACATTCTCAATGGGAGAATACCAGACATCAACAGCTCACCTAGGGGACATGGGGCACATAATATTAATGCATTGCACAAATATACACATATCATTGTGGACAAATGGCAAGAGAAAGTCACTGCAGAAATAGAGATATGCTGGAAACAGAGTGGTCAAATGAGACCACACTCATTCCACTTACCTACGCAGACACAGAAAGAACATGCAAACCCCACACAGAAAATTCTGAGGGTGGAATTGAACCCAGGACCTCCTTGCGGTGAAGAACAAGCGCAAAGCAGGGTTTGGTTTTGAGTTTTATTTTTTAATTATTTTGCTTAATTAATTAGGGGCTGGTGCTATGAGACTTGGGTGGCAGCTCTGATTGCCACCCCCCTGACCCAGAAATGGATTAAAGGGTAGAAAATGGATGGATGGATGGATTATTTTGCATTCCTGTGATAATTACCGGGCAACAATCTCTATTTTTCAAAACAGTCTTATCAAACACATATATTCACCAATCATTAACTCAGGAAGATGTATGCTGATGGTTCTAATGCTTGTACACTTAACTTACTGGTCTCTGGTACAGCAGAGCAGAGGGAGAGGCTGGAGGTGAACTGGGAGCAGTCGAGGGCTGTCGTGCCAGACCGTCTTCCTCAGAAGAGATATTTGGTTTTCCAGTGTATTCACATCCGGAGCTCTTCCCTTCAGTGTGGAAACAGAAGCCTTTTAATGTATGTTTTTGCAGGACATGAAGATTGGCACAGTCTGGAGTGATAGTGACCAGTTACTAAAAAGTATTTAAGTACTTATTATTAGTTACTTTCAAAATAATAATAATTTGCAGAACACAATTTAGTTACTGTCTCAAGTCGCCCTGAGTAACTTACATTACTTGATGATTTGATTCTGTATTCATATGAAGGCCTACTAAATTAATAATTTCACATTTCTCCTTATTTAAGTTGTGTTTATTTCCTGTGAATGAAAATCGAGCTGTTCTCGCAGCTATGTTACATTACAATTAACAATTATTTGTCAATGTACTGCAGGAATTTGTTACACTCTAGGCTTTTATACTAAACTTACACCAGCAGTTCTGCCATGTGTTAAGAGCGTGATCTTTACAAGCAGACATACTTTTACTAACACAACTTGTCACTGGTCAGCTATCCCCCCCTACTGGTTATAATTACAAAGTACATGTAATGTAATAATAAAAACTACCAACTGCGCATACAATGATGAATAATATCATGTTTCCAAACAATATGAAATAGAAAGCCTGACTTCAGCACTGGGATAAAGTCCAGTGTTAAACCATTGACAGTATTTATAGATAAACCTCAGCTGACAGAGGCAGAACATCTGTCATGAGCTCGCCACACACGCGCCTCTGAGTGCTCTCCTGCTGAGAAGACACCACCTCAAACAGAACCAGGCTTTCATTAGAATAAACATACAGTCTATGGGCCAGACATGCACTTATCACACCAGCACTTTATGAACATGAAGAAATATGAAACATTCCAAATATAAAGACATTTTTTTCATATTTGGGAAATATGTGGTGTAAAATGAATTACTATTTCTTTGTGACTTAGTTTAAAACATTTATTTTCATAATAAGGATAATGGTAATATTTTATAAGGCTACTCAGAACTGTTGTAAACAAAGCAATTTGGATTACAGAGCCCTTCAACAAAATGTGGAAATCCAGTGTATGTGGTCTATGACGTGGTGTAAGGCTCTAAGGCTGTTACATCAGCTGCATGCAAACAAAGGCAAGTTTTAGGCACGGTAAAATACACACTTTAAAATAATAAATATGTTTGTCTGTCAATCATTTACACATTTGTCACATTTTAACAATCATTTCACCAACAGCTAATAAATACATTCTGCTTCAAGGGTCCAGTGATGAGATGGATCAGTCACGTCTCAGCCCAGAGAGTGCTGCTTTTTAAGGCTGTCTGTTCGCCGGACCCTCTCCTCTGGGGTTTTCTTCTTGTACCAACTCCTGTCGACAAGGACAGAAACATGAACTCCTAATTTTGCAGCAGTTTAGAAGTGAGCGAGATAATATTGTGAGATTCACCCCTGGTGGTTGAGTTGGCCCATAGTAGGTGAATTTTGACCCTGGCTTGGTTTTAGAACTCTGGAAGAGCAAATGTGGTTACACAAATACACAAAACTTTGTACTAGATAACAAAAAGTCACACCGATTTGTGGTGGGGCTTTTTGGTTTCTGTTGCGTCCTCCTCGTCGGCGCTGGAGACTGGCTCACCCTAAATAAACAAATAAACATGAAACTTAGTCATTTACAAGGACCATCAAATCATTATAGACATTGACTTTTCATTGACTGTTTTTTACCTTTTCTTTCGGTCTATGGACCTCTGTGTAGCAGCAGAGAGAGCCTTATCTTTAGATGTCTTTGACTTTTCCTTCAGGGGGATTAACACAGATTTTCAATTTTTTAGTAGACTGAACTAATACTTAATGAGCATATTCACACATCTGTAAGTTATTATTTGGGTTTTGTTTTTAATCAGATGGGAAAGAATTCTAAAACACTGTTTTCGCTTCATTATAAAGTTTTGCAAATCGATGAATGAGACAAAAACGTGAAGGAGATCGAATACTTTCTGAATACACTGAACCAGCACCAAGAACTAGTCCTGTATCATCATCCCCGAGTTCTTATTTAGTCCTCGGTTCCACCTAGTTCCACTGAGATGCATTCACACTGCAAAGATGACTCAAAGTGGTTATGACACAATTTCAAATCAACAGTGTGAGAATGAACACAACAAAATTAATGTTTTGAAGGAAATTCAGAGTTGTACAAATAGATATCACCTAAAGGTACCTGGTCTGACTGGAAAGTAAGAGCCCCAGAGCAGGGGCTGAAAAAGTACCCAGAGTATGGCCCCATTCTCTAGTTTCTCCTTTTGTGAGCGCCCCCAAAAGAGGAACAAGAACTAACGTATCCAGAACTGAAGTTCTTAATAAAATGCCTAATATTACTATAAGTAAATGAATGTAATGAATGTTTGATACACATTTTGGAAGACATACTACAGTTTTATCTTGAATCATTCACGTCAAATGAATTGTATAGACAATCTTCAAAATAATATTTAGTATTTTCATTACCAAGTCTCTCATCTTTCGTTCCAGGCGGAGCTCCCGGTCCTGTTGTAGGAGCGCTAAACTTTGTGACAAAGGCATTTGGAAGAAGATGTCGTGGATGTCATAACGGGCTGCGCGCAACTAGAAACAAACAGAAGACAACGCATGACAACACCGCCTCCTAGTGGCCATGCAGAGATGGTGCATATACCTGAGCGCTGACTCTCTCCTGCAAGGAAAGGTCTTGAGTTGTGTGGGACACTTTCTTTAGAGGGGCTTCAGTCCGGAGAGAACAAATAAAGGCTTGTGTGTCCTGGGAAATAGCAACATCAAAGATAATTAATTCCTCCTCTCTCTAGAACTCAGGGATATTGTGTTTTTCAAGAATAATTTCATTTGAGGACTTTTAATCTATTTAAATGTTTACTAATATATGTACATTTTGAGAAGAAAATACACCAAATAGTCCATATTGGCAGTGGCCCTTCTCGCAAAACATTTTGAAATCCATGTACACACATGTAAAAAAACGAATTGGTTAACACTTTATACGTTTCATAGCAGTTTGTCAGCAAATACAACTCATGCTTGGATTTGTAATTGACTCACTTTTATTTTAAGGCGTAATAATGTTGGAAATAATAGTAAAAGTAATGAGGTAAAAACACCGCATTACTTTTACTATTATTATTAATATTTGATATTTTTGTTTTCTCCATAATATTGTTATTCTTACCACAACAGTTTGCCGCAGTTGTTTGACCTTTTCAGTTTTGAGGAGTCGTCGAGTGAGAAAGCCTCGTGTGATTGCACAGATGCGGCAGTAGGCTTTTTGAAGCTCTGGTGTAATGACCTGATAAAAACAAGACACTAGTAAAAAGGGACTGAAATGCACTCATTTTATAGATGCCATTTTGTCAAACCTCACTGAGTCTTGTCCGAGGTTTGCTACTGGTCCAGCTGGGCCCCCATAACTGGGTGTTTGGTAACAGGACAGATGGAGATATGGCTGGAATTTGAAAACCTTAAAATAGACAATAATAACATATATTTGCGCTTGTAAGTACCATTTGTGGGTCAAAATCAGCGATTTAAACAGAATAACTATTTTCACAGACTAGTTTCTTAGTCTTATATGATGATTGACCCAAATAAAAACAAAAAACATTACATGAGAAACTCCAAGAGGATAATTATGCTTTGAACTCTACAAATAACAAAACGTTTTATTAATGGAGCTCAACAATGGCTACCCAACTTGTGGTTATTTTTTCCGATCAATCAATTTTTATCCTGATTTATCCGTTGCCGGGTTGTAGGGTTGCTATCTGCGCCGACTCCCAGCTTTTCATTGTCGTGCACCAAATATTTGACACAAAACACATTTTGAAAATAGGTAGGTTAAAATACATTGACTTAAATAAATATCAGCAAAATGATTTAGAATGTTCTCAGTGGAGGGGGTAGCGAGTTGATTACACATATATTTTGGGGGTCTCTTTTTGAATAGTTTGAGAACTCCTGAAACAGCAGACTTCCAAGAGGGCTGTTGAGCTCCATAATAATGACGGTCAACTCCCGTAGTAGTAGTTTTGAGAGGCAGTAGAGAGTTTAGAGGAGTGATACCTATGGGCCGCTCTGACGGGGTGTGTGCGGGGCTGATGCGGGGGCAGGTGGGGCTGATTATGGGGCAGGTGTCGCTGACCATTCTGTGGTTCCACCCACTGGCATCTGCACTGAGCGGTCGCCTTGATATCTCCTTCAGCCTCCTTGCAGCCTGGTCCTGCTCCTGAACACCCACAGGTAAGGCAAGAGAGGCACAGTTCATAAACCAGGTAACTCAAAGTGCTCAACAAAACAAGACATTAAGCATTAAAATAATCGCAGTACATTACAAAGAGTTTGAATACAATGTTTCAGAGGCCTGTCCCTGTGCTCCTCAGAGTCCGAGTTGGTTCATATGGCACTAATATGTCTCGGATGTAACTAGGTGCGAGATGAGACTTGTAAACAAAAAGATCTGCTTCACAGTCTATTCTCTGCGCCACAGGAAGCCAGTGCAGAGACCTGAGAACCGGACTGATGTGATCGCACTTCCTGGTTCTAGTCAGGAGTCAATTGGAGAGACCAGTGAGTAGGCTGTTGATTCTGATGTTTTAAATTATACAAAAAATGCTGATGGTACTTATTTTTTATAATTATGAATACCCCTATGACCTGATTGGAAGATTTTAGAGTGGACTGAAGGGGACTTAATTATAAAGCTGGATAAAAAACCACATTTGCCTTACTCCACATAATAACAAGTAAATACTGGTACACTAAAATACCCACAGATGCAATAGATGAGCTAAAAATACAATTTCCAAAAATAAACACTGGATATTTTGGTGTTCTCATGTTCCTCTCGTTCCTCTCGTTCCTTTCTTAAAAATAACCGTATCAATATCCACAAAGGCATTATGTGATAACCTCTAAAACGTCCAACCCCATTTAGTTTAAAATATACCATTTAAAGTGACATTTTTTATTTATTAAATTGTGTAGATAAAGAGACATTTTTCTCCCCCAGCAATTCTTATTGGTGATGCTTATTCCAAGGAGAGGGACTGTTTTAAATGTATTTATTATGAAAAATACTTACAGATGTATTTATTCCAAACGCATCTTTTTTTTAAATATTGTGGGAAAACGTCCCTAAACCCATAAAAGTAGTCAAGTTATCATGTGTTTTCAAATAGTAATGGAATTGACCAGATGCCTGTAGTTTCCTAGATGCCTATAATTAATGAGAGATATTTTGGAGCGGACCAATAAAAATAAACTAATGGGATTCGTTCATCCTCAACCAACCAATGGGATGCGTTTAACCCCTTCACCCCCGTCTTCCTGTTTCTCGTGAGTGCCGCACCTGAGTTATCTCTCCTCTCTTCCTGCTGTGACAAAGAAAAGAAAATGCTGGATGTTTGGTCTGGTGGAGAGGCGAGGGGGGGGGGAGTGGTTTCGAGTTGGTGACAAAATTGCCTACTGCACCTTTAATATAGGGTCATATGGTAAATAATATGTATTGTTTTCAAAAAGAAATACAATTGAAGTTACTGATATCGTTGTTAAATTGCCTATTGTCTGGTCAAGCTTGTAAAAAACAACGCAAAACACAACGAGCTCACCAGTAAGAAGCGCTGTTGTTCTCTCTCTTGCTCTGCCAGCAGCTTGGACATGTGAAGGCCATGATCATCCTCCAGCTGTCTTTGCCTCTCCTCTAAACCCTGCGTCTGCCTCTGTGTGCCGGCAGCTTCTGAACACAAATAGAACACAGAATAATGAATAAACTTTTAAAGAAGACAGACGCGTCATATGGTCAGCGTACTCACTGCTCTGTGTTTCCGGTGCTCTTCTGGGAACATTGGGAGGGTCAGGACTCAAACTTGGCTGTGAAGTCGAGGGGTACTCTGTGGTGTAAGACTGATTAAGAGCGGCCACGGGGAGACGCCGATTCGGACCGAGCCACGTTACGCCTGCCATAAAGCGTGGTACTCTTTCCTGGCTGCGGTCTATGGACTCTGTCGGATGGCTGTCTAACGTGTGGCAACGTCGTCGAAATTGAGAGGGGCCTGGGTGACCGTTTGGGCTGCATAAAACAATGTTGGGACTGCATTGCTCATTTGCAGAAGAGTTGTTATTCCATTGATTCGACTGGCAATTATCAACGCAGTCGATGAAGTTCTCTCCGAGGGATGCTCTATGATGAGACGACCGCACTGTACCAAAAAACATGTCTCGTTCCGCCCCACCTTCCACAGATCTTACAGGACTCCGGGGGATCAGATCGGCCGGCTCAATCGGGAATGAAAAGTGGATGTTTCCTGTTGAGATAGGACGTGGACGCCTGTTTCGGACTTTGACTGGATGGTGCATGGGCTGGTCCGCTAATATTGTAGAGTTTGAGAAAGGCTGAGGGAGAATGGGCTCATAAAAAAGTTGGTTGCTTATTTTTGGTTGGCTACAAGGACTGTGCCTCAAACTAAAGCCAATCTCATTAGAATTTGTGTTTTTAGTGTTAAAAAAATCATTTTCAGTTGGAGCTGTGTGCATTAGTTTCTGCTCCTCTTTGACATAATCTCTGGACTTTTTGAGCAGGCTGTCCAAACTAATGTCGTCGTCGTCATCCTCATCCTCCTCCTCCTCGCTCAGTTCCTCTGTCCTCGTCTTTTCTACTTCCTCTTCCTCGTTGCAAGAAACAATAGTTGTGCCGGAAAAGGGTGCAGCCAGGCAGTCACAGGCAGAGTCTTTGGTGAGTCCAGGTGAGTCAGTTACTAAAGTGTACCCATTGTTTTCAGGAGGCTTTTCAGTTTGAGGTAATCCGACGAAGCCACAAGTTTTTGTCTTTGGGAGGAATAAAAAGAAAAAGTATTAAGATTATTAATTATATACTTAGATATTGAGTATACACACATTGTTGACAATCACTTAAATTCTAAAAGAGTAATATTGTCACGCCCTAGTGCAGTGGCTCTCCAAGTGGGTGGCCAATTGTAAATAGCTTTGTGGCTCAGGTCAGGGAAAGGCACTATATAAATAAAGATTACTTACTTACTTACTTAGGTAATATTTATTTATATAGAACATTTTTACACACCAAGGTCAACCAAAGCGGTCATTGAAATAAACATCACTGCAATGGATTCAGTCTGTTCTGTTTTTTGTTTGTGTTGTAAAAATCATGCACAAGGAACCTCAAAAGAACACAGGAGGAAATTTAAAATCATAAATCACACAATATACATTTTAAATCAGGCATTTTTAAAAGAACAGATAATACAATCCTGCAGTTGTACATACAGCTACACGGACAGTTTCTAAGTTTTTGTGAGCATCAAGCTGAAAATGCTAACCTGTGCTTGGTCCAGGAGGTCTTGAACGCGGGCTATGAGCCGGTTCCTCTGCTGGCTCTGCCTTTGCACCTCCAGCTGCTCTGCCTGTTGCCTGTAGTTACACATTGTCTGGCGTTGCTCAGCTGTAAGCTATGGGAGACACATAATACACATGAATGAAAATAAATGTCACTGATTTTCCAATGTGACAATGCGTATTTGAGGAGATTCTCCAGTTTAAAGGCATGATGTTTTGCTGAGAAACTGCTGATCTAATTTGAACTAGACTGGTCACATGCCTCTGACAAATACCCTCACAACCAAGTGCAAAAAGTAGACAACAAACTATGAAACACTATTGAACAAATAGAATGTAACTTGACTATAACTTGACTACTACAACTATAACTTAATCTTAGCCAAGAGCCTCATGCTGCTAACATGTATCATCACTGTTTATATTTGAACCCACAGAGCGATTGACTTTTTACTTCAACATTCTTGCACATGACTAAACCTTTTATTTTTTGTTTCTTAATAAAGTTAATTATAAAGAATTGTTTGGAGTTGTGCTATACGCTGGACTTAATGCTCTTGTGTGCTCCTCATTCCCACTTTTCTGTAACTTGTGATTGCACTCTAAAATGTCCCACTGTAATACTAATTTGTTCTTACCTGAGGAGGAAGAATAGGTCTTCCATGGAAAAGGATGACAGATGATGCCTTCAGGGGACAAAGTGGTTCACGTGTCATCTTCTCAAATGTACCCTCATCCTGCAGAAATGCCAACGTTTGAAGGCAAAACTGCTCATAGCTCTCCATATGTGCAACCGCCCAGGTCCTGAGTTTGAAGCATACATGCAGTCTACACCGAAGCAGCTGTGAAAACAATCGCACAGACGAATTACAATCTATTGATCCAGATTCATTGTGTATTGTAACTTGTATCCAGAGTTAAAATGTGTATTATAACTTGCATCCAGAGCTAAAATAATCATTAAGAAGAAATCTATTAAGTTACAAAATTGAAGTACAGAAGAAAGGGGTGGGATTATATAAGTGTTTACTTCCCCCACTCCTTTTCAGATGGACTAGTTTAGGTTAGTTTAGTTAGTTGCCTCCTTCTAGGCAGACGAGATCACACGGTAAACGTTGGTTGTTTGTTTTATGTACTTAATTTCTTCATTTTTCTTTTATTAAGTTGTTATTACTTTAATTGTTTCTTTGCAGTCTGAATAAAATAATAATAAATTAAAATTAAAATCAAAAATTTAATAAATTCTATGTAATTATGAATATGCTGTCAATGTCAACGGTCAAATGAAGAGAACCAGCTGTTTACTACAGGTCTGTCAGCTCTCAGATGTTTATCACACTCATCACATTCCTGCCGTGCCTTTCGAGCTGACCTTGTTGAATGACTCCCATTTCCTGGTCTCATGGAATCCTGTGTTACTAATCAATAGTCAATCCTTTCTAATTGTGTCCGTCAGCACATGGCACAAGAGCAGACACAGACCACTATTTTGGACATCCTGTTGAGACATTACAATGGGGGGGATGACGTCTAGCTTTGCCTTTACATCAAATGCATTAAACTAAACTGAAAATATGAATTCATTTGGACCTTCAGGCTAAAATACAACTGGAAGCTTGAACCATAGCTCATAATAATAATAGGTGGTGCTCTAAAAGGTTAATGCTATGGCAAAAGCATCGGTGGTCTCTCTGCAAACATCTCGCCATCAGAACATGTAAGAATATAATTTAACAATAGCCAAATTTGATGTGGTCAAGCTAGGAAGCCTTTTTATAGTGGGAATAAATGCGTGCATAGGCTGCCTAAATGAACATGCAGGTGGAAAATGTGCCTTACCTTTCCCGGTGAACATCTTCTGGATTCCCTACATGGCCAAATGTGAAGTATGATGTGTTATTTGGCGGGTGTGAGGGTGAGGTAGCAGAGCAAAGGCATGGATACGATGTCCCTTTCGAAGCCGCACGGATTTTTCATCTCGTCCTGGTCTTCCGGGCAACAACAGCGCCTCCTAGCAACAGTATCCAGGCTGCACCCGGCTGCACGAGGACACATGATTTCTGAATGTGAAAAGACTTCAAAAAGGCAAATGACAAGGGGCCAAAAAATAGAAGGGATTTCATTGTTCTTATCATTGTTTTTCTTTTATTTTTCCTTTTTTTACATTATAAAGGAATTTTGACTTGACTTTTATGTGACATGAGTTTCACTATTATTTTCTGGTGATTTTTTTTCTGAAAATAAAATGTGCTTATTGTTTAGATTTAACTAAAACTGGACCAAATATAACGTTTGTTCATAGATTTATATTTAACTGTCAAATAGGGACTAAATATCAAGTTTGCAAAAGATGACATGAATTCTAATGGTTTGTTGTGGTCTACTTGGTTCACACCATTTTACTTTTACAAGACTCCAACATATATAGCTTTACATAAGCAGATGATGTCTCTCAAATATATATGAACATCTGAACATAAACACTGATCTGACATAAAGGCTGGATGAGATGGACTTCCGTGGACAGACATTAATCCTGCCTGTGCTGTGACATCACCACCTGCTCCACATGAGCAAAGCCCACAGTGAGGTAGGCAGACGAGGTCCTCCAGCTGAAAGGGCCTCCGAGGACGAGGAACCAATTACTATGGTCATTTTGTAACATTACTTTAACATACACCACTGTCAATGTCATCTTTTGTTTCTTTAATGATTCCTTGAGTTGTTTGTAAGAGTAATATAGACATGAAAGTAGATGGATATGTATAATGAAGTACTGTTTAAATCATATTTAAAACATGTCAAATAATGTGTATGCTCAAAAAAACACAAACTTCAATTTCCTTGATGAAAGTGTATTTCTCGTCACATGTGCCAATACACAGAGTCTGTCTGTGGTGAAAACGGGGGTCACTGCTGTCTGTCTAACACAGCTGGTGGCATCTTGTCTGGCATTTTTTTACCCATTATATATATGTATATATTTATACATTTATGGCCTCCGCATATGCATTGCTGTGGCATATGTGATTTTGTCTGGCATCTGTCAGATTTTGTGGCATCTATGAGTTTTTCATGACATCCGGGTGGCGTCTTTCATGTTTTGCAACATCCTGCCCAGAGTCTGGGACCTTGTCTGGTATCCATAGTTTTTGTGATACCTGTCCACAGCTGTGTCCTATGAAAAGCACAACAATAATATGAAGTGAGAGGATGAAGACATGAAAAAGTCCATATGATGATTTACCTTTATTTGACATGAACACATGATGCATCCCTCCTCCTCCACACCGTCTCTCCACTGTCTCACATGGTCTCTGGTCACATCTGGTTTTCCCTCTGGTGTATTGATGGCTTCTGCTCTGGCATCTGTCAGATGGGTGGCATCAGAACTGTTATATGTGTTGATGTACAGTGTATTGCAGTCTGTCCTGAATAAGACAACAATGCATTGAAGTGGGAGGAGGGACACATGACATGTTCATAGGATGATTTACCTGTATCTGGTTTGAACACATGAGGACAACCCTCCTCCTCCACTCCGTCTCTCCACTGTCTGCATTTGTATGTTCCACAGACTGGAAAATAACAGACACATGACTTCACTGCACTTCATCCCCTGCCACACCTGCACTGCATATTCTGTTTGTGTTACTTTTTCAATGCTTTGCTTCATCTCCTTCATCTAAAAAAAAAAAAAAAACAGTATTGTAAAGTATAGAAAGAATATGTTACTTAACCCTCTATACTCACATGTTTGTCCTTGTCCCTTTTTAAGCCCAAAGAGAGAACTTGAAGGTAAGACACCTGTGAATCAAAGCCATTTGCCACATATACAGTATTAAAGGCAGTAAATTAAATCCCAAAGTCTGCTCAAACTATTTACACATTGTATAAGGTACCTTGGCTCACCAAGAGGGCCACTGCCCGGGCTTTTGCAGAGGAAAAAACCCGGGAGTGGAAGGAGTATGGAGAGTCCATGGAGCATCACTATCAGTCGGCCTCAAAGAGATGGTAGCAAACCGTCCGGCGCCTCAGGAGGCTTTGCCCACACCATGTACGGGTGGAGAGCTATTGACATCGACTGGTGATATTGTTGGCCGGTGGATGGAATACTTTGAGGTTCTTCTCAATCCCCCGTCACATCATCCATCCAGGAGGCAGACACTGAGGATGTTGGGGCGGATATTCCCTGATCTGAGGCGAAAGGCAATGCACTCAAATTACCAGTCAATGTGTTCCCTCCCTCACCAATGGTCATGAGCTTTGGGTAAATACCAAAGGACGAGATCGTGGATACAAGCGGTCGAAATGAGCTTCCTCCACAGAGTGGCTGGGCGCTCCCTTAGAGATAGAGTGAGGAGCTCAGTCACACAGGAGGAACTTGGAGTAGAGCTGCTGCTGTAGAGAAGGAACCAGTTGAGGTGGCTCAGGCATCTGTTCCGGATGCCTCCTGGACGCCTCCCTGGGGATGTGTTCCGGGCACGTCCCTTGCGGAAGGAGGCCCCGGGGAAAACCCAGAACACGCTGGAGGGACAATGTCTCTCAGCTGGCCTGGGAACGCCTTGGGTACCTCCGGCTGAGTTGGAGGAAGTATGTATAGGGAAGTCTGGGCATCTCTGTTTAGACTGCTGCCCCGCGACTCGGCATTGGATGAAGCGGAACAAAGTGGATGGATGGATGGACTTGGCTCATGTTGTGCATTGTCAGCTAATAAAGCTCATCTGTGGCACCTTCTACCGGCAGCCTTTGTGACATCTGCTTGGTATTGACTGACATTGTCTGACATTTTCCTATTAACAAGACGACAAAGCATTAGAGTGGGGCACACTTCAAGGGACAAATGAAATATTGCTAAAAAAATGTACCTGTATTTGGTTTGAACACATGGGGATAACCCTCCTCCTCCACTCCATCTCTCCACTGTCTGAAGTCATGTGCTCCACTTCACTGGCCAAAGAAAATCATTTTACTCTATGCGATACTTGCAGTGTGTATTTCTTTTTTCTCTCTTTCATCTGAAATAGATGAAGTCGTGTAAAGTAATGTGACAATAACTATCTAACCAGTTGTACTCACCAGTCGTGTCCTTTTTACTCACAAAGAGCAAACCTGTGAATCAAAGCTAGACCACAAACATTAGAGGCAAAACATTTCATTTCCACACCAGAGTGTGCACAAAATATTTAGTTTTTTGTGTTTTTTCGAAGGGATCCAAATTGGATCCAACAATGCAGAACACAACAAATAGATAGATAGATAGCTACGTGCAGCCGCTGGGTGGAGCAGGACAGGTCACAGCAGCAGAGGTGGTGTAGCCACTGGGTGGAGGAGGACGGGTCACAGCAGTAGAGGTGGAGTAGCCGCTGGGTGGAGGAGTACGGGTCACAGCAGTAGAGGTGGAGTAGCCGCTGGGTGGAGGAGGACAGGTCACAGCAGTAGAGATGGAGTAGCCGCTGGGTGGAGGAGGACAGGTCACAGCAGCAGAGGTGGAGTAGCCGCTGGGTGGAGGAGGACAAGTTACAGCAGTAGTGGTGGAGCAGCTGCTGGGTGGAGGAGGACAGGTCACAGCGGCAGAGGTGGAATAGCCGCTGGGTGGAGGAGGACGGGTCACAGCAGTAGAGGTGGAGTAGCCGCTGGGTGGAGGAGGACAAGTCACAGCAGTAGTGGTGGAGCAGCTGCTGGGTGGAGGAGGACAGGTCACAGCGGCAGAGGTGGAATAGCCGCTGGGTGGAGGAGGACGGGTCACAGCAGAAGAGGTGGAGTAGCCGCTGGGTGGAGGAGGACAAGTCACAGCAGTAGTGGTGGAGCAGCTGCTGGGTGGAGGAGGACAGGTCACAGCGGCAGAGGTGGAATAGCCGCTGGGTGGAGGAGGACGGGTCACAGCAGCAGAGGTGGAGAAGCTGCTGGGTGGAGGAGGACAGGTCACGGCAGCAGAGGTGGAGTAGCCGCTAAATATAACAGTAACAAACTTAACATCTATTTAAAAGGGATCAAACGTGGATCCAACTTTTTACAATACAACAATAATAACACCAACAAACTATTTATAAAAAGGGATCAAACAAGGATCCGGAAAAACAGTAACAAACATATTTTTTTGTTGTTTTTTTCTGTTTTTAAAAAGGGATCAAACTGGGATCCAATTATGTAAACATTTACAGTGACATGTCACCTGGAGGAGGAGAAGGGCCAGAGGAAGGAAGAGCAGAGCGAGGAGGAAGAGGAGGAGGAGCAGAGCGAGGAGGAAGAGGAGCAGCAGAGCGAGGAGGAAGAGGAGGAGGAGCAGAGCGAGGAGGAAGAGGAGGAGGAGCAGAGCGAGGAGGAAGAGGAGGAGGAGCAGAGCGAGGAGGAGGAGGAGGTGGAGGAGCAGAGTGAGGAGGAGGTAGAGAGAGGAGGAGCAGAGTAGGGAGCAAGGAGCGACGAGTAAGAGGAGGAAGAGAGCGAGGAGGAGGAGGAGGAGGAGGAGGAGGAGGAGGAGGAGGGACAGAGTCAGGAGGAGCAGAGCGAAGAAGAGGAGGAGGACGAGAGAGGAGCCTGCCAGGGTGAAGAGTGCGGAGCCAAGAAACAGAAGGAGCAGAGAAAGACAGAGAGAAGAAGGAGCCAGGCATAGTGAGAATGAGGGAGGACTTTGCTTAGTCCTGTGCACAAGGTCTGGGGTCTGGGGGTCTTGGGTCAGGGGGTCTGGGGGTCTCGTGGAAAAGGAGCAAAAGGATCTGTGGAGGAGGAACAGAACATGTCATACATGACTGCAAACATAGAATTCTGAGAACATACAAATGTATGAGTTAAAGCTGGGGTACGTAACTTGCAAAGCAAAATAAATGGAACTATGTCCACATAACGAGCTCTACCAGTGGTTTTCACATTTTTGTTTTCATAAATAATCCCTGATGTTTGTCTCAGACCTCAACATGCTGTTTTACCTTTGATAATACTCATGCTTGTAAGAAAGAGCCCTGTGAGACATTATTTGACACTTTGGGCTGAGAGCTGATTGGCTGAGTGAGGGTGATCCTCTCTTTTTCAGGTTTCTGTCTGAAAAAGCTGATCTAGATGAGACAGAGGCCAAAAATACATGATGTGGTTTCAAAGTTAGGTTCCTAAACTGGAAATGAGTGTCAGTTGTAGTAGTTGGGTTGTTAATTATTGTATAATTGATAATGTATGACGCATGTGCAGGAGATTACATCACAAGAGCACTAATATGTATGTCGAAACTCACATAAACCAGCTTTAACTTTGTCCAAGTCCAAACCCATATAGACTGAACAGGGAAAGTGGAAAGCTCACGTTTTGTGGTCAAGAGTCTCACAAACCGGACAGAAGGGGTCAGCAGGTGGTCAGCGGGTGGTCAGGAGCGGTCTGAGAGTCACTGGTCAGCAGTGATGTCTCCTGGTGGAAGATATCGTCGAGTGAAGTTTCACCAAATGAGTTTGTGTCGCAGCCAAAGTTTTGCGCAAATGATTCAAAAGATGCACTGTTTTAAAAGATGCCCTTAGCAACAGATGACCTTAGCAACGCGCCCCTGACGAAGAGGCACGCGCGCTGTGATGTGCGCTCGAGCCGTTTCCTCCGCGTCTTTTACGCACGGGCCGTGGCTGATCGTGGCTCAAACACTGTCAAACACGCACGCAATCCTGACAGCTGTTCAAGTTCTGATCGTGCATCTTCAATATAAAGAACAGAACACGCCAGGAGCGCGTGCGTGGTCAAAGTTGAAATAAACTTACAATATGAGAAACACAAGACAAGTGCTGTGTTCATCTTAGGAAACATGTTTTCTTTTGCATATAAGAAAGGACCCTGTTTTATAGTTTGGGCTGAAAGTTGATTGGCTGAGGGTGGTTCTGTATTTGTCAGGTTTCTAATAGCTGATCTAAAGACGTCACAGAGGACAGAAATACATTCATTTGAAAACTAGTGATTTAAAGCAAGCTTTTTTAGAGTTTTGTATTTAGTGGTTCATTGGTGCCCTATCTTTAAATTAGAGTGCATTGTAAAAGTGTGTTGGTCCAACTGCGGAACTGTAGTTTCATGTACTTTAGCACTTTGGTATATAATTGTATAATTGCAATAATTGTATTGGTAATAAAAGGTTGCCAAAGTTGATTATTAATATGGGAGATTTGATTGCTTTTCTATTGTCCAAGTTACAATAATAGGCATTGGAGGAAAAATAGGTTCTTCTTTTTTCACCAAGCTCTCCATATACAGGACAGTACTAAGAGCACACATGGAGCACCCAAAATATACAATATAAGGAGCTGCTAAGATAAGATATTGTGAGTAACGTATTAAAAAATGACGTGTTCAAAATCCCTTATAAAGATGACCATGATTCAGAAAGTTAAATTCAAAAAGGTTTATTTCCCTAATACAAAAAGAATCTAAAACAGCTGTTCGGACCAAAAATAACTATCCCTTATTCTCTATATATTTTTTTTTTTTTTTTTTTTTTTAAATTCTTTATTTGAATTGGGACAGTGCACATTAATCAACATGTGTTTTTTCAACATGTAAATGCGCCGGAGTTAGCCATATAGGCTAATTTTCATCCGTAGTCCCATGGCAGGTTGATGTCAAGATAGGTAGTATAGGACATACAACAGGCACAAACATACAGCAGAAACACCATCACAGAGACATAAAAAGACAGTGAAAGAAGAATACAACATATAGTTAAAAATGCAAGGAATATATAAGAATTTGTTCAACTAAAAATTCAGAAAGGGACAATATACACAACACCAAAATCCTCCACAGCAAGACATGTATCAGTGTTTGGTGACTTTAGTTCATGTTGTGTTCACATGTCTGATTGTCCAAAAGCCACTTCTTCACAGAGTTCCTAAAAATGTGAAATGAGGTCAGGTTTTTAGGAACTCTGTGAAGAAGTGGCTTTTGGACAATCAGACATGTGAACATATAAAATCTAAAGACATATAAAATCTAAAAGTATGACTCTGAGTGGGCGCTCCACATCAAGCCATATACTGCCCCTGGTCCGCAAAAAACTAACTCACCACACATTCAAACTATCTACTATATATCAAATGTGCAATGGGGAAGAAGGGGCGTGGTATCAGGCAGCTTCCGGGGTCCCGTGATCCGCCTTCCTCCATCTGGTCTCCTTCTCCCGTCTGCACCTAAAAAAGAATCCATGCTTTTCTAACCTAGTGTCTCCGGCCAGCTGTCTCTTGGTCTGGATTCATCCCTGCTTGTCTAAACAAGTAGTGCGTAGACTGGCAGACTCCAGTGTCAACCCACTCCTGATGGAGTGGGTTCAATAAAGCAAAAGTCAGCAGGGGCCAAGGCTAGGCAGACAAAATCCAAACAGAAGAACCCATGTGTTATTTAGCTGGTACCCCAAGAAGACCCCTAAAAGTAGATTTAAAAGGACTGGCCTGCCACTCAGAGGTCGATAGATCATAAAACACATGGTTTTAGAATGTCTCTTATTTATAAATGCAACATTCCCTCTCTTGGCCGCTATTAAAAAAAGGCCACACATTTCAATAACCTTCCTCAGGCGACGGGACGGGGGAATCCTCAACCAATGCAAGCATTTGACCTCTCAGTCCAGGGCTAACAGCGGTGTCTATAGCTTTAACACAAAGAGAACGTATACAAGGTATACAACAGCATCCTACAACCATTATTATTGCAAAGATGGCCGCAAGGCTTGTGATAACAGACAAAATTACATGCTTCCACTTCCCCAAGATGCTGTCCAGCCACGCCTCCAGTGGGTTCTCCGGGACTCCAGAAACGTCATGCATTTGCTCTGACAGCATTTTGAGACCAGCCAGAGCCCTGGAAACTGATCCATCTGGATGTGTGTTATTTGGAATGTATACACAACATTCTGTACCAAATAAACTGCAGACCCCACCTCTCTCTGCTAAGAGCATGTCTAGAGTCACTCTGTTTTGAAATGCTACCAGAGAGGTGGCCCCCAGCTGCTCCGCCAATCCCTCTATTGCGTCCCTGGTGTGATTGGCAAGCCTAAGCATAGTATACCAAATGAAATTAATTCTATCTACATTTTTGTTTGGCGTAATAGGGAAAATAGCGGAAATTATTGGAATATTTTCGAAACCTGTTGCAATTTGATCTACCAGTTTGAATTCCTGAGGGACTCCACGTGGAACACCTATAGAGTCCATGTAAGTTGGATTATCTTTCCCAGTATCTAGGAATGGGATTGCCCTTTTAAATCTATGCAGTGGGTGGGGACTGTCTAGGGATGGCTTATGGCCAATTATGGAAATGGGCATCATTAATCGCACCATTGCACAACTGCCTGTAAAATTTTTTATTAGTCTATGTCTAAGTTTTAAATCTCCACACAACCAATACAAATCACCTCTGGTCCGGGTCATGTGGACCGGACTGGGCAGGGTGACGTTGTTGACACACCAGTCTGCTGGAAGGAACCCCCACTGGAGACGCGGCCTCGTCCCTCCATTGAGTGAGTGGAAACAGGTGTAATTGCTTTTCCTGTGGGAAAACATAGGAGGCTGAATTTCTGAATCCAATTCTGGGAACAATACTTCAAACATTGAACAATTACTAGGGGCTGTCTTTGTCTCCTCAGTCAGGTCCTTTTCTTGCCAAAACAACTTTATCATACAATTATAACCATCTACATCTTCTGGGAAAAGTGGAGCAGGGGCTGTATACAAAGTGGGACGTGCAGTAGAGCACACGACACAATCGTCAAAGCCAGCAGCCGCTGACATGTGTTCCACTGTCCACAACCAAGCGTTTCTATCCCCATATCCAGTTGCTTGTTTTAACAATTCAGAAACAGTCCAGTCAGCAGTCACCTGTACGTTCTGTTTGTCTTGCCATACTTCACTATCTATGGCCTCCTTGTCTAGCTCCTTGTCCTCGGGTATGGCAATTGAAATCCATTGTCTAATGTCTCCTGGATAATGTCCAATAACGTAAGTCCCATTCACATCAATCCCACAATTTTTCACAGTGACTAGCACCGTTGTTTGTGAGTGGTCTGTAGTCAGAATCACTCGTCCCTTCAATTTGTGTTCATTATTATAACCCCAATCCGGACCTGTATTGGATATAGCATACTCCCAAGCATCACAGGTGCAGTCCACTGATGCTCTAAAGCTTTTTCCATGTCTCTCATATTTACATGTAGACGGTGTGTAACACAGGTAGAGTGTGTAGTCAGGTCGAAAGGATAATGGAAAGATTGTTGCCATTGGTATGTGGGCTGTAATTGTCGCACCCACCGGGCATTTTACTGTCACAATCGTAGGTAGAGAGTCTCTAACGCTGCCTTCTCCTATGGATCTTTTATTTCTGTCAGTCTTATTGGACCAAAGACTGGATTGTGTTACAAGTCTGGTCCTGTCTCTTAGCTGTGTGTTTTCTAACACT